ATGTACTTCTCAGTACAAATTAATGCTACCCATTTTAGTCTGGATGGGCACGGATGCCAAGCTCAATTTAGTTACACTATTTCGTCAGATGATGACTTTCCCATCCTTCGGAGAGGATGATATGATTAGTGGGGGAGAAGGGGAGTTGATGCCAGACACTATTAACTGAGAGGGCTTAAAACATCATTTTAAAGTTCTCATTTCTTAACTATTTTTTTTTTTAATTTCGCAAGGGGAGATTTTTTAATCCTTCAAAGAGGGAGATATGACTGAGTCGATGGAAGGGGAGGGGGGGATATGACAGACACTGTTAGCTGAGAGCTATTTTCTTTTTCATTTCATCATTCTGGGCCACAGCAACGCGTACAGCTAGTATTCATTATATTCGTGGCTAACCTTTATACCATCCGCCACCTGGTGGACGCGCCTAGTAGTAGGACAGGCTCCTACCCCAGGTATATAAATATATATATATATCAGTCAGTGGACTCCACCTGTCATGGTTTTAAATAGGTGGACACATTTGAAAGTAAAATATTTTCATTTTAGTGACATTTTATCAAAGCCACGTCTGTAAACACGCATGCCCAGTAGTCGGAAAACATGACTTCCACTATTTGCCGACGTGGTACAGCAAACCAGACTATCTCTGTTTTTGCGCAGACAAGAATGCGACATTAACCATATTAGACACGATTTCTATTTTCTTTCTTTTCAAACAACCTTCGATGAGTTAGAGAGTAGTCAGTGGATTTGAGGGAAGGGTGGGGGGGGGGGGGGGGGGGAGGGGGGTGGGGGGGGGGGAGGGGGTGTTGGGGTGCATCTAAGATTATTTCTGTTTCTGCGCGATGATTGCGACATTAACCGTGTTAAAGACGTGCGATTTCTATTGTTGTGCCGTTTTAATAATACTCGAAGTTTATATCTAGGAAATCTGTCTCTGAGAAAACAATTACCTGCGGTTTAGAGTTGTGTTATAATCGGGACACAGTAGCTGGGGCATACATCTTAAATACGTTCGCAGAAAGAGTTATTGGTTGGCAGAATTGTTAGAACACTGCGCCTCAGTATGGGAGACCACGGTTCAGACTCCCGGTATGGCATTTGATTTGATTTTACCTGCACTGTCGTGGCGACAGTACTAACCGTGTGGCCCTAAATACTAAAAAAAAAAAAGGGAAAAAAAAAAGAAAAAAGTACAGGTATGTGGGCAAACCAGTTGATGATTAAATTTGACCATTTCGCATACTTATGATTTCATTTCAAACTTTCCGACTGCATGGTTACGTTGAATTTTTATAGATTTCAATTTATTTTCATTTTGATTTAATTATTTCGTCTGACATTGCTTATGAATTGGGCTGTTGTTTACCGTAGCATTCATTTCGTAATCATGGTGTATTTTTTTGTTTTCGTTGCTTTTCACTTGGTTTTTGTGTGTCTCCTAACTACTTTGTCGAGGAAAAGAGTAGTCGGTGAATTGGTGAGTGGGGGAAGAGGGGGGGGGGGGGGGGGGGGGGGGTATAACATAAACTCTTAACTGAGAGAGCTTAAAGTTACAGTTACTGCCTTACCCACTCAAAGTAGCAGTAGTTGTGATTGGGCAGTTACACCGTATTGCTGTCATGCTGGAGACCACCGGTAAGGTGACGGGTTTTTCTGTAGGGGTGCGAAATTATACATCCTAACCTGACCAGTCTGTGGCGACAGCACTAGCCAAATGGCGTCAAATCTTCTGGCTCACGACTTCCTGTCTACTCCGATGGTAAAACAGATAGCAGTGACATTTGTATAGCTATTGTGGTAGTGGTCATGGTAGTAATTGTACTGGTACTTGAAGGATGGTGTGGTAAATATTACACCAGCCCCATTTACTACTTATTACAATTCCTGCTCCCAATTTTAGTCCGGATGGACAGGGATGTCAAAATCAGTTACAAAAAAAAAAAAAAAATCACCCGGCGATGATTTTCAAATCCTTTGAAGAGGGAGAGAGCAGTAGTCGGTGGATGGGGGGGGGGGGGAGAGGGGGGGGGGGGGGTGTGATGACTGAAATTGGTAACTCAAAGAGCTTAACACATGATTGTAAAGATCTCATTACTTAATTTGTTTATATTTTACTAACTCTACCTCCGCTATTCTAATTTTTTTTTACGACTTACTTTGTTTTTTACAAGTACCGTAGTCGCTTTACTTCCGTCTCCTATAAAAATACAAACAGCTTTAGCATGTGATAACCAAATAACCATTTTTGTTACTGTGCTAATAACACCATTTAAACGACCACTAATTTAAAGATACAATTATATGGTGCGTATTCTAAAGTCGGAAAATCAGACTATCTCTATATCTGTGCAGACAATAACTATATTAGACACGTGCGATTTCTATCATCTTTTTTTCTTTCAAAAAACCTTTGATGAAGAAGAGAGTAGTAGGTGGATTTGGTGGTGGTGGGGATCGAAGACTATCTCTATATCTGAGCAGACAATGATTGCGACAGTAACCATATTAGACACCTGTGATTTCTATTTTCTTTCTTTTCCATTTAGCCAAACTATGCCACAGCAAGGCGTGGCTGGGTACAGCTAGTTTGTTTATATTTTACTAACGCTACCTCTGTTATTCAAATTTTTTTAACGATTTACTTGGTTATTTACAAGTACAGTAGTAAGCTTTACTTCCGTCTCTTAAAAAAATACAAACAGCTTTAGCATGTGATAACCAAATAACCATTTTTTTAAACTGTCCTAATAATACCATTTAAACTACCACCAATATAAAGACACAATTATATGTTGCGTATTCTAAAGTCGGCAAACCAGACTATGTCTATATCTGTGCAGACAATGATTGTGACAGTAACCATATTAGACACGTGCAATTTCTATTTTCTTCCTTTTTCATTTAGCAAAACTATGCTTGGCCGGGTACAGCTAGTATTTATGTATGTATATATATATATATATATATATATATATATATATATATATATATATATATATATATATATATATATATATATATATATATATATATAATGTTTTCCAAGGCATTAAGGATTATTAATCTCTTTAATTCTGTGTTTGGGTCATCATATTCATGTTTCCACTTCTGCCATTAAGCGTTGTGGGGAGGAACAGTTTGCGATACATTGCTTGATGGACAGCAATGGCTACTGTCATTCGGTGTCGAGGCTCTTTAATGTCATCCGTCCATCTACTCTTAGGATGGCCTCTTGTTTTCATTTGAGATCCTTTCATGTGCAGCGCCTGCATTGGTAGTTATTCTGACTGCATTCTTACTAGATGACCAAACCATTTGATCTTCTGTTTCTCAATGAGTTTGCTGCTTAGTGTTGTTCATAGTCTGTCTGATATTATTTCTAACTTTGTCTCCAATGGTTAAGTTGGGTACAATCCAGAAATCTTGACTATCAGGATAGAGGGAGGCTAGAAAGGATATACAAATTAGGCGTGGTGAGTGCACATATGATGGGGTGTGCAGGCAATGCGTTAGCCTGATTTTACAGCAATGAAGAACATGATACAAATTTACTGAACATGTATCTTTCTCGGAGTCAATATGGACACACAATACAATAAGGTAAAGAACAGCAGGTTAATATAAAGCACAGTCATAGAAGCTCCACAAGTGTACAACAAATGTTGACGCTTGTTCTGTGTTTATTAATCAAACATCTTTTTCCCTTGGTGAAATAGTCATTTTTACAGCTCCAGGTTTCACCCCAAGTCCAGCTGGCTGGACAGGGATAGGGAGTCACTTCTCTTGCCATATTTGTCATGTTGTAACTGCTGTGCAAGGCATTGATGACATCATTCTGTTCAGTACCAGACCAGTCAATGCAACGCAGTGTCTGAAAGATCATCTGCATGCTTGTTGCCTGCATTACCCAGCAAACAGATGAAGATAAGGCCAGCCATATGCCAAATGCTTAGTGATACAATCCTTTCTTATTTGTTGAGCCCAGCCTAGCTTTTCTAAACTCACATATGCTTGGACTAATCTTCCACAAACTGTAATCTGAAACTTCATCCACTCAATGAGGTGCCTCTTTGGAGCTATGATTAATGCCAAAGGGTAGCACATTTGTTATTAAGCAATGTGACTTTTTATTTTTTATGTATTACCTAGCTTATGTTTACAAAGCAAAATTCTTCAAAATGCATTCCCTACTATGACACTAAGAAGTGAAGATTGTCAGAAAATTTGGTTTCAATCTGCTATATACCTGATTATTTAAACAAAATAAAGTACAAACAACACCAACCACTGTATAATCTTTTATTGATCTTACCAGTCGAAAAGGTCTGTTCAACACATTCAAGAAGACTGGGTGTCCACCTATCCTACTGAGCACTGTTGAGTCATTCTACACATGTATGAAATGCACAATACAATTTCACGGTCAAACATCAGACGAATTTGTAATCAACTATCGAGTGAAGCAGGGATGTGTACTTGCTCCTAATCTCTTTGGAATATACTTCTCACTTCTTTTGAAACTAACAATTGGCAAAAAAGAAGACAAAGATTAGGTGCAAGATGTTAATGACAGATCTTCAGTTTACACTGATGGTGAAGAGATGGCGACAGTTGACCATTTTACATATCTGGGATCCACAGTGAACAACAAACTAACACTGGACCAAGAAATCAACATCAGGATAGGTAAGGCAGCAACAACAATGAACAGTAGAATTTGGGAGAACAGAAAGCTCATGATTAGAACTAAAAACTCTTGTCTATCAGGCCTGTATTCTCAGCTTTCTTCTGTATGGCAGTGAAACCTGGTCAAATTATTAGCATCAGGAGAAACGGTTAAATTCACATGCAATGCCTAAGAAGAATACATAGCATTAAGTGGCAAGATTGGAGAATTGTAATCTACATGGGATCCGTATTTTATACAAATAATTATCCACTGTAAATTACACAGCTACAAAAATCCATATACATGCAGGAATTACATGTTGAAGTCATGTACTATAGATATGCAGACATCCATGTATGTCCCCCACAATTAAGTACTTGGCCTCAGTGACTACAGAAGCACATGTTGTGGTCTTGGATTTAGTGTAGCCAAGAAGTGCTCCACTCTGTCTGTTCCATATAGACAGAGAACCCTTGTCACTGACTGCTGTCACATAGGATGCCTCACTCTGAGCACTTTCAATTCTGCAAATAATTTAGAATAGAATTTCTGAATAAACCCTTAAACTACACAGAACTGTTTTTATTACACACTTACCTCTGTTATGTAATCACATAAAATGATTAACAAAGTAACAGGTTCTATGTGTCCCTCAACAATTATTTTGAAAGGATTTAATTGGATCTATTCTTCTGACCCACAGAACTAAGGAAATTGTAAATGACTGAACTAACAAAGAGTAACACTGATAAACACAAGGCATGTATGTCATAAAGACAAATTATTTCAACTGCTAGCTCTAGAAATGGGTTTTAGTAAAGGAGACAACAAAATCGTTAACAATCCAATTGTTTCACTTTTATGCAAGCATCCTGTTTTACATTTTTTCCCTGCTACCCACACTCTTTTCTGCCTTTCCAATTTAAGATCAGAGCACAAGTGCACACATGTAAAGTTGTGACGAAACTCGTCATCAGTAACAACTCCCGTCTAGTTTCGTTTTTTCTGCATAAAGCATGTTATTTTTATTGTTGTGCTGTCCTTAACAATACTGTTATAACAAAAAAGCCTAATCATTATTCTAATTCAAATATGTGTGTATAACATTTTTAATGTGTCCAGTTTTTTCATTCCTATTTTATTTTCCTGTTCACCTGGCCGAATGTCTCTGAGATTATATTTGGGTGTGTTTTTATATATCTGTTTTGTGTGCATCTTTCTCCCCTTATAATTTAGTAGCATTTCACAGCTACACCTTATTTCCTTGGCACAGTTATTTCTGTTATTCTTGTGAGTACTTACACAGACAAACACTGATAGTTACTAAGAATGTCCGACTACTCTGGTCTTATACATTTATGGTCAAATCATTCCTTTGTGTAATAGCACCATAAGACTACAGTGTGGAACAGGTAGCTGAACAAAAACAAAACACACTTTACAATTTTACTATCTTGAGCTTATCATTTCTGCAAGTCAAGCACAATACTCACCTTCTCCAGCTGTTGTTTGGGACTGAAAATGTCACCATTTTCCTAATGTAGCCAGTCAAAGTGTTTACAGCAATTAGACCGCCACAATCACCATCATCCACCCTCCAAACTGTGTCCAGTAGAAGAATGCCCTAATGAAACAATCTTAACATTAGATATTATATCACTACACATATAAAAAACATATTTGATTTACTGTGATATGTCTAATATCAAGCTGTGCTTGCTAAATGCATTTAATGAAAATGACTATGCTAATATTTTTATTTCTGACTTAGAAAATTGGTTTCCAAAACCTGCTCAGTTTATTGGGAGTTACCATGGTGTAGTAGCTAGATGCTCGCCTGAGGAACGGAAAGTCATGTGTTCATGTCCTGACAGTACCAAACATTTTTCCCAAGTGGACCCAGCCTTGAAAAAGGACCAGGTGGAGTCATGGAAAGTAATGGTGGCTGGCAAAGTGTGACCACATCACCCACCCAGTGCCAACTGGTCTGAAAAACATTGCTATAGCCCTATATGCTCAGTATGCCTGAAGGTGTGGAAAAAGGTCCTTCTGCTCACATGATTCAATCAATTCAACTCTTAGTGTTCACCAGCTGTAAATAATGCTGGTGGAAAGTTCTGGTTGTTCAAGCACTTCTTGACTTTAGTCCTGTTCCAGTATTCTTGATCTTGCCTACTTGTATGCAGATTTTATTTCGCCTCTCAGTTTTTCAAAGTAAACAACCTAAATTAGTCAACTTTCATGATATGCTAGTTGGAGGGAAAAGGGGGTTAGAATGTCTTTCCTTTTTCGACCAAAATCGGGCCTCAGAATCTGCACAGGGAAAGCTGTTTATTTAGATTTGAAGAATGCCAAAGCTAAAACTGCATAAAAATACTAAACATCAAAACGCATAAGGACCATTCATAAGAAACCTGTTCATGTCAGACCATGATGTGCTGGACATGATCATGTTGTGTGATAAGTACTGACCAATGAATAAAAGAGCACATGCTTATAGTACTATGATGCATAGGTTCTGTTTTTGACTGTTGAGAAAATGGCCGAGTTGACAAAAAACCATTTAAAAAAGCTAAAAGAGCAGTAATTCAGCATCGTTAATTTAAAGTATGTTGAGCAGTGGACCAAGAATGCAGGAAGTGAACAACTGTGTAACACAGACTGAGCATGTTTCAGAAAGGACCACAGAGCACAAGAGATTATCCATGGCCGGGTCAAGCACAAATTCTTGCAATTGAAAAAAGAATCAAGAAAAAAAAAATCCCAAAAACTGATGCAATATGGGTGAACTATTATTAAATCATGTTCAATAGCAAGAGAATGCAATGTGTCAGTTGGGACAGTTCAAAATGTTGTTCACAAAAAAACTGCAAAACTGGAAGGTGTGTTTCACAGTGAGTACTTTGGATGTTGATCAATCATCAAAGGGAGGAGCACAGTTTGAAACACTTGCTGCATCGGAGAGCGGAAGGTGATGTATTTCTCCTCAGTATAGCAGAAACAACAAATCATAGTGTGACCACTTTGAGATGAGCAGGAAAGGAGAAAGAAAGCAATGAAGCATATTGGATCACAAAAAGTCAACAAATTCAAGCTACAGACTTCTAGACAAGCTGCATAAAGCCATCAAGAATAAATGTCACAGAATGCTTTCTCTGTGTAATTCTGTTGCAAAGATTGTGCTTGAAGCCTCAGCATAAAGATGTAATGAATGCAGTATACACTTGCTGGCAAAGTTACACAGAGAGCATTTGTATGACCATGAATGGATACTCTACCCAATATATGGATCACTAGAAAAGCTGCATAAAGTCATAAGGAATGAATGTTCCAGCATGCTTTCTCAGTGGAATTTTGTTGCACAATAATGCTCGACTGCATGTTGCAAAGATTGTTCATGCAGTCTTATCAAGGAAGAGGTGGAAAATTCTACAAACATCCGGCATATAGTCCTAATTTGTCACCATCTGATTTTTATTTATTTGTACCCCTAAAAAAAGTTCTTGAAGAGCATGATCATGAATGCAGTCATCTGCTGGCCCTGATATCAGCAAGAATAAGTGATTGAATGATCATGAATGCAGTCATCTGCTGGCCCTGTTGTCAGTAAGAAAAAGTGATTGAATGATCATCAATGCAGTCATCTGCTGGCCCTGATGTCAGTAAGAAAAAGTGATTGAATGATCATCAATGCAGTCATCTGCTGGCCCAGATGTCAGTAAGAATAAGTGATTGAATGATCATCAATGCAGTCATCTGCTGGCCCTGATATCAGCAAGAATAAGTGATTAAATGATCATTAATGCAGTCATCTGCTGGCCCTGATATCAGCAAGAATAAGTGATTAAATGATAATGAATGCAGTCATCTGCTGGCCCTGATGTCAGCAAGAATAAGTGATTAAATGATTATCAATGCAGTCATCTGCTGGCCCTGATGTCAGTAAAAATAAGTGATTGAATTATCATCAATGTAGTCATCTGCTGGCTCTGATGTCAGCAAGAATAAGTGATTAAATGATCATTAATGCAGTCATCTGCTGGCCCAGATGTCAGTAAGAATAAGTGATTGAATGATCATTAATGCAGTCATCTGCTGGCCCTGATATCAGTAAGAATAAGTGATTGAATGATCATGAATGCAGTCATCTGCTGGCCCTGATATCAGCAAGAATAAGTGATTAAATGATCATTAATGCAGTCATCTGCTGGCCCTGATATCAGCAAGAATAAGTGATTAAATGATAATGAATGCAGTCATCTGCTGGCCCTGATGTCAGCAAGAATAAGTGATTAAATGATCATTAATGCAGTCATCTGCTGGCCCTGATGTCAGTATGAATAAGTGATTGAATGATCATCAATGCAGTCATCTGCTGGCCCTGATGTCAGTAAGAATAAGTGATTAAATTATCATTATTGCAGTCATCTGCTGGCCCTGATGTCAGTATGAATAAGTGATTAAATGATCATCAATGCAGTCATCTGCTGGCCCTGATGTCAGTAAGATTAAGTGATTGAATGATCATCAATGCAGTCATCTGCTGGCCCAGACGTCAGCAAGAATAAGTGATTGAATGATCATCAATTCAGTCATCTGCTGGCCCAGACGTCAGCAAGAAAAAGTGATAGAACGATCATTAATGCAGTCATCTGCTGGCCCTGTTGTCAGTAAGAATAAGTGATTGAATGATCATGAATGCAGTCATCTGCTGGCCCTGATGTCAGTAAAAATAACTGATAGAAGGATCATCAATGCAGTCATCTGCTGGCCCTGATGTCAGTAAAAATAAGTGATTGAATTATCATCAATGCAGTCATCTGCTGGCCCAGATGTCAGTAAGAATAAGTGATTGAATGATCATCAATGCAGTCATCTGCTGGCCCAGATGTCAGTAAGAATAAGTGATTGAATGATCATCAATGCAGTCATCTGCTGGCCCAGATGTCAGTAAGAATAAGTGATTGAATGATCATTAATGCAGTCATCTGCTGGCCCAGATGTCAGTAAGAATAAGTGAATGAATGATCATCAATGCGGTCATCTGCTGGCCCAGATGTCAGTAAGAATAAGTGAATGAATGATCATCAATGCGGTCATCTGCTGGCCCAGATATCAGCAAGAATAAGTGATTGAATGATCATCAATGCGGTCATTTGCTGGCCCTGATGTCAGTAAGAATAAGTGATTGAATGATCATTAATGTGGTCATCTGCTGGACCTGATGTCAGTAAGAATAAGTGATTGAATGATCATTAATGCAGTCATCTGCTGGACCTGAAGTAATGTAGGAAAATCTATATGAGTGTAACTTATATGTATTATCACTGCTTTTGTTACCAGTGTGAAATACAAATGATTGGTTTATAACATTTCAGAATAGGACACAACAATCTCAGTCTGAGAAATTAATTGACCAAGTGAAGAATCTTGTTTCAGACTAATACAAGTACACTGATCACAAAGTTATTGCTTCCTGTGGTCAACTATTATCTTCATCTATATATATGTCTGAATGGCAATGTTCTTGCATGCGACTGCTTCCTGGATGTTTGCTGGTATTATCCCCCCCCCCCCCCAAAAAAAAAACTTTGTATTCACAACAAAAACTGACTGAACTACATGGGCTCGTGGCATAACAGTGACTGAACTAGCAAAGATGCCTGAAACATAACAGTACAATAGACATTCCAAGTATTCTAACTATTCTATTCTATAAGAACTGATGTGTATTTTGCTTCGTTGTGTACCTTATGTGATGCAGCTTTCACAAGTCTGGTCAAGCAGGGTAAAGGTGACTGAATGTTTATTTTTTTCACAGCAGAGCCGAGCTTCATGTTCCTAGAGAGAAGATAAGAACACATTTGGACAAATGGAGAAGCAGGTTGTTATGTTTAAACAGGTGAAACAAATGAGTGCTGATAGAATTAAATTTATCAACAGCACAAGCATTTTCTGTAAATCTAAATAATGTCTCCAACTACATCATGGAATCTAATATATTACAAAATATTTACATGTTTATACAGAAAGTTACAACGCGTAAACACAAATTAAGACTGTAATTTAGACAGGCAAATGTCATTTACCAAATTGCTATTTCCTGGTCGGCAGTGAGGCTTACATTTGCTGATACTTGACCACTGACTCTGACAAAACTAAGCAACTTGCCACGCTGAACCTCAGACACTGTCAGAGACTTGACAGACTTCAAGGAATTATCAAACAGCACCTGTCCAATGATATACTGTGTATCTGAGGAGACTGCAATGTCAAGCTCTGATGCCGTGACTGAGCACAGCTCAATCTGTGAAGGAGATCTGAGGAAGAAGAGATATAATTATTTGATGCAGATTTTTTTTAAAAGGGGCGTAGACCAAAAGACAATCACAACTGCATTTTGTAACCAGATGATTTATATCCTCCATTTGGGACAGCTGCCTTATCGCCCAGAAAATGCTCTTGTAGAAGTTTTGAGACTGGTTGGAAGAAAACATCATGTGGTATTTTAAAAAAACCTAAGGGAGATCTGATTTCTATTGGTATTCCTGGTCGACTTCAAGTCCAGCTGCTGAACACTTCCCTATTCTATCACTAATTCTTACTGATGTTAGGGCTAGCAGATGAATGCATTAATGACTGTTCTATCACTTAACGGTAGTTAGCGTCCTCTAGATTTTTCTCCAGGTGATGCCGCTATGTTGGGAAATAAACATGCAGATAGACTGGCCAGTTCTGCACCACTTGGTGGTAAACTGATGTATAACAAGCTCGATGTTGTGAGGGCCCTTCGGGAGCGAGTGAACAGTGCGGAGGTACAAGCAGATCATTAAGGTCTCCGGAGAATGGAGCTGGAAGAAGTTATCAGGAGATTTGGCTGGCGCTCAACACAGAAGGGAAAGACGAGACGGATATACAATCAGACAGTTACCGGTGCTACTGGAATTATAACTCTTCGCCTGCTGCTGAAGGTGGGGACAGAGCGCTTATAAGTATCCCAAATGCTGTGATGTGGATTCTTAATTCAACATTCACCTACACTGACCACGGCCAGAAGATAAATGCATTAATGACTGTTTTATCAATGATTCTTACTGACATTCATTTAGTAGGAAACTCACTGACTTGACATCAAAACCTATTTGTTAAATCAGAAGAGCATTTCTTCAACTGACATCATATACCCATGATATTATGGTGGGCTGAGTGTGCTGGAAACATTTCATATCACTGTTTCTGGTGCAATTCTATGGCCCACAACTCTGAAATCTTCTGCCAGTTCAGTTTAGCCTTTTAACCATGGTGTATGATGAAATGAGGACATACGGCAGAAGTCTTGCATGAAGTCTCCTAAAACCAGCACAGAGTTCACCGGTGCCTAAAGTGAGGAAACTATTCACTTATACGTAGGATATTGACCTTTACTTTCCCTCATGCCTGGAGCCAAAATCATCACATATGATCTGCTTTCAAGGATAACGTCCTACTAACATCCTGTTTTCTAACATCTGCCAAGTTATCAACAAATTCTAAGCAATGCTTTCTGAAAACAAATGTATCTTTTTTCTTCTTTTCACATTTGACTTGATGCAGGATTTTATTTTACTGTGATACTGACTCCAAATTATTTAACCTTCTATTCAGTGCTGAAGGAAAGCTATGCAGTGTATGCCCCCCCCCCCCCCTCCCCCGATCTTTCAAGTGAAATCTAAACAAAAAATGTTTTTATATGTCATGGAATAGTGAAAAAGTACTGAAGCAGGTTAAATGTATCTGCAGAAGATATTAGAATGCACTGGAAATTGTCAGGGAATGTTGAATCATCTTCATTAAGATATTGTAGGAAATGTCACTCGGTGGTGAACGATCATGTGAAGACTGTGGTTGGTTCAATATTGTGATTTTTCTATAACATATACACTACTTACAAAAATGGAAGCTGGATGGTAAAATTAAATGTTAATGTTTTAGGGTGATGTAGATCCTTAGTTTGTCATTTATTCTAAAACCCAAATAAAGGAAACAGGAAAACACAGACACATTGTGCTTGTATGTAGATAGTAGGGCTGTACCGAATAGTGATTTTTACTATTCGGCCGAATACGAATATGAATACGAATAGTGTATCATCAATATCATCATCAGGTGACTTGCTGACTGGCGTGTGCAATCATGCCTCTCCGCAATCTGCTATATCCTGCAGCATGTATCAGTTCGTGTGCTGACACACCTCCATGCCTTGCAACAAGACTGTTAAGAATCTTCTCTCGTTGTCTTCCTCTATCCCTCCTTCCACAGATTTTTCCAGTGGTCACCAAATGTTCCATTTTCCCTCTTCTCATAACATGGCTGAAAAATGATGACTTGTCTTCTTCTGATGTCTGTGATTAGTTGTCTTGGGGCTCCCGCCTCTTTCAAAACCATCGTCCGCTCGGCCGCTCATTCGATTTAATTTAAACGCACCTTCATATTCTCGTTAGCAATATCTTTAAATTAGATTTGGGCGAAGACACCCTGACAAAACAAAAAATGCATGATCTCTCTCTTTCTCCCTCTCTCGCTCTCACACACAGACACACACTCACACTGCGGTTGGCATTTTATGCTGTTTGTACCAAGCAACTGGGTCGCAGTTGCCAACGCTACGACAGACTAAGGCAACAGCAACTATTGTGTTAATGAGAGAGTTATTTCAGTCCATCACAGTGTATGCAGAAACGGGAGTAAGGTAAACACTATTCGTATTCGACCCGACCGGAACTATTCGGCCGAATACCGAATAGTTTTTAGGTCCATTATTCGGCCCCGAAGCGAATATTCGGTACAGCCCTAGTAGATAGGCACACAATAGTTATACTGGTAAACAAAAAACCTCAAAAGTTAAACTAAATTAATTTACTGTAACTGAAACTGCTGCTCCAATAACGGAATGTTATATCTGGTTGTGTCCCCTGTCTTCCAGTCATACAGAAACAATGTGGCAAACAAGCTTTGACTGTTCCAGCCACTTGCTGCAATTGCTATTACAGAGTCGTTTCTATGTAACAGGCAAGCTTTCATTATATGGATTTCCTGAAAGAAAAAAGAAAAATTTACCAAAATAGCCAAACAACCTAGTACAATTAATCAGCTGGTTATGTTCTATTCTGGGTAAAAGAAAAACGAAATACTAGATATGAATGCTAAAACAAATGTGGGAACAACTGCAGTATCTATTCAACAACAAGAATTCTTGTGCTATCATTAGCTATATATCTTATCATAAACAAGTGGTCTCCTGTTTTCAACAGCCAGTTTCTTGAGATCTATTTTTGAAACTGTCTAAGTGCCCCAAATTTAGTTTAAATAAGATATTAGGACATATAATTCATTAACAGTAATTTATTTGTAGCTTAATAAGAAATTTTCGCAACTATAATGACATTTAAAAATTAATCAGTGAGACATGAAATTGTCTACTTCTTATAAATTAGACTAAGTAATAGGCTATTGTTTACACCAACCACTAATTCAGCTGAAAGAAACAAATACTCACATTTCTATCTAGTTTTAATGACCAAGGCCACTCTGACTTCTTCTACACCCATGGTGTCATTTTTTATTTCTCTACACCTACTGGAAGGTTTAACTCTTTCATTACTCAACAGTTATTATTTTTTAGCTCATTCTACCCAAAACAGCTGTTGGGACTAATTAATGTTGGGTCTAAAGGTTCAAACAATTGCTCTATCAGACAGAAGAAGTTAAGATAAACGATAAGGACAGAGTTGGATAAACTAACAACTAGATACAACATTATGAGTTCAGGATGGATTGACTAATAAACAAATGGAGAACTGCTAGGTTTTGAATGAGTTAATGATGGGTGGAAGGAAACAACTCCGTTCATATTCTAGAAGATGGAACCTCAAATTTTGAAACACATGTTAATTAAAATCAATGAAATGTTGATGATGCTTTGTTTCCACTTTAATCAAAAGAATAAATCAGCCTAGTCATTATCCATCTATACCTGCCACATCTCTGACTGACCCTCACAATTGACAGTATCAAAGCACTGGCAAGATCCACAAAAAATGTTAAGGTTGACATTTGTACCTGAATCCTTTCCTGCATATGTGAAGTACTGGGAGCATGCAGTGTCTAAAAATTTTTTAATCTTACTTTGGATCTCCAGAAGCTTACACCTTCTTTCTTTCAGTAACCATGATATTGGCATCTACTTTCAGCAGAGGGGATTATTTGCTATAATTTCAAACAGAAATGTCTCCTGAAACGTCAGGCATTGCTCTGGATCTGTGACCATTTTATCTGTAGACTTTCAAGAAATTGAAATAATGCGGACACAAACAATACATTGCACACTTTATTGCCAGGCATATTTCGCTGTATCTCGTCAGATGCAGAGTTACATCAACATAAAATGAAGCACAAAACTGAATAAATCCAACTGAAATGCGAATAGTTTCTCCCCACACATCGTGTGTGTTATTTGGCCGCCGGAAGCTCACCGCAGTCAGGTGACTTACCAGGGTAACTTCAAATTTACGATAAACTGCGTCTGCTTACAAATAAGGGGGCTGTTGATTTTAATTGTTAAAGCTTCTGCGATTCTCAACAGTCTCCTGTTCGGAGTGTGGTAAACCACACGGAAAGCACTGTCTGTGTCACTTACATGTCTGGATTTAAGTAGATGACGCCCTATTGAAGAAGTGTGTTCTTTCCTCTTGACTTGTCTTGACACCCTTGAAGAATCACTGAGCTGTGTATGTAGCCATTTGGGTATGTGCTCTGCCACTCTATTTCCAAGCTGTCTCTCGGCTCGACTCATGTAAGTCAACTGGCACTTTACATGTAAATTTTCGCAAGGGTATATAGACTGCATAATTTATTTTTATCATGGTCACACTGTAATGATGAAAAAATTCTTTTACATTATGGTATAACAAAATTATATTTTCACTAAATAATTATCTATTTTCAGAAATTGTCATAGATGTCTGGAGAAATATAATTTCAAAAATTTGACGAAGAAAAAAAAAGCCACCACAAATGAAAATCACTCACAGATGCAAGCTTCCAGTCCAGTTCTGCTGTCCATCCGTTTAGATCTTCTGTCCAGACTGTCAGAGATGTTGCTTGAACACTGACAACGTAAGGTTTCATCTCATTATCTGTTGTTTTTGCACAGCCATTAAGTAAGGTCACTACAGCATCCTGAGTACAAGACTTAAGAAGAAGAGAAATGTATAATTTAAATTCTGACATTATCTCACTTATCTTATGAATAAAGTGTAGGACATAACTTATCATCAACAGTATCAAAGCTGTTATATAGGTACAGTGGCCTCTGCCCAAAGACTTCATGTCAACAAAAACTTCTAAATGCTAGGAAAAAATTGCTTTCTAAGGGCCCAATGTTTTTTTGTGAAATTATTTAATACTGTTGAAGATTCCTAACAAAATTTCTTAACACTGTTTGAGAAATTTAAATAAAATAAATGATTTCTATCTAACACATGGTTGGTCAAGGTTCAGTATGGTATCCATTCAGTGGCTCTCATTGGTTGTATACATCTCTATGAACAGAATGGAATGAGGAACACAGCAAAATATAACACACTGCAAATAGCTATACGTTTGACCATTTTCATGGTATCAGAAAGTGACAAATCTCCTGATTACTGCAGACTTCAATTTTGTCAATGTAACAAAAACAGAGAACAAATACAGTAATGAATTAGAAGCATGCTTTGTCTGCTAGATATCTACACTGTTCAAAGAATTGTACTCAAAACTAAACTCACTAATCTAAATAATGAAAAATTATATAGTTTACTCTGTCAGTGCATTTAACTCATCATATTCATAGTTCCCACTGAATCCCATATATCTTGTATTCTCATTCTTGTTACATCTGGTCAGAGAACCAAAAAAAACTGACTTCTCCAGTTACCACACCCAAAGTGTAGCCTACAAGAATGCAATATGAGCAGGATACTGTCCTGTGGTTATTTCTCCCACACTGGCATCTGTTTTGAAATATTCTGGGGCTGAAAGAGTAGAATAAACAAGATAACAAAATGAATGAGAGCAGGTAGGGTGTCTTACCTGAAAACATCCAGAAAATTTAAAATTGTTCCATCTTCTGTTTCCATTGCTTATAGGTTTAGACCTTGATCTCTTAATGAAGGGAGAAAATACTGGAGTCATCTGGTAGTTTCCAGGGGTGTTCTGCTCCAGTACAATCAATGGGCTTGACTTTGTCTTAAGCAGTTTCTTCCATGGACTTATAAACTTACTGCTTGTGACAAATGGAGAAGAAACATGATTCTGCGAATTATTAAATTCCCTTATGACTGAAGTGTCACCTGTGGGTGGTTCATAAACATCATTAGGTTGTTTTTTGTCTTCCTCGACACTGTGTTCATAAGGTAAACAGCTTTTGTCAGGAAATAACATTTGGCAGCTTGGTGAAATAAATTTGGATACTGATAAATCCAAAGGTGATCGTATGTGCTGTACAGGCATCTTGAACTTATGGCACTCAGTTGTCTCTGCTGGCCCATACAGTGATGTGTCTACCTTTTTATGTGTTTCATTTCCATCAAATGATATGTCAAAATCTGCCTGTGAATTATCACAACTTGTCCTGTATGTTGTTACCGTCTTAGGTGTAGACGTCAAGCTAAGACCGGATGAATTTTGCAACATAGGATGACTAGCTGCAGCAAAAGTGGAAGTACTCGGACTGTGCAGGGATGAAGCATTGAATTCTGAACCTGCCACCTCTAGACCTGACCTGACAGCTTGCTCTGAGTCTATGCCAGAAAACTGTGTGTTGATATTTAAACCAGGTTCTGTATTAGCAGACTGCCAACGTGATTTTGGTGTGTTCATTTGTAGAGACATGTTGGCCAATTGCTTTGAACTGGGACACAAAGTACTGAGTTCTGTAGATGTGTGACATACTGTGTCAGGAATTAGTGATTGAGTCAGCTCAGCTCGGTCTGACAGACATGTGCACTTTACTGAAGTAGTTGCACCTTGCACATGTGATTGCTGCAAGGGATGTGAAGGGTTTTTAAGTGGAAATATTGTAGTTCCTATTGAACATATTTCTGAAACTGTTGTTATTTCATCTCTAACTGTTTTATTTGCAGAACCATGAGGTTCATTGCAACTACATGTATTTTTTGCAGCAAACAACATCTTGGCAACACTTTTACCAAATGAGCGGCGAAATAATGTTCCATAAGATGTATTTATAGGCATTTTTTTCTTTCTTACTGAAGTGATAGAGTTATTTAAAATTCCTTTATGATGTGGATGAGTTCTGAGAATATGTGTACTTGTATCTGCAAGTTCTTCAGTTAGATTATCACTTCTGTTATCAATACCCAGTGAATGTTTCTCTACACATTTATCTGATGATTCTTCATTGTTCAGTAGTGTAATGTTCATCTCTTGAACCTCTGCCCCAGCTGAGCACAGCTTCCTTTCTAATAACGCTGCATCTGTACATGGATCGACCACAACCTCTGCTCTAAATGCATCTCTCATATTTATTCTATCAGTATTAGTGGATACTTCTACTGCTTCTGTTCCTTTACTGATTACAGTAGATGCTTGCTGACCTACATTTTTCTCAAGTGATAGGCCATGATAGCAAATCAAACTTGTAGCCTGAGAATTTTGTTCAGACATATTTGTGTCATTGTTTTCAGCATAACTGTGTGTGGTAAAGACACCATTAGAAACTGCATATTTCAGTTTGCTACTGATTAAATTATCATACACACTAGGCAGTTTAAATTCTAAGAATGAATGTACTTTTTTGGCTTCATCAATTAAAAACTGAAAAACTGATAAAACTGCTGCTGTCTTTCTTTGTTCTGCAGCTGGTTTTATCTGTCTGGATTTTAATCTGACTACTACAGAGTCATAGTCAGATGAAACAGAGCCTGAATGAGGTAACCAGTCATTAGCTGTTAAACTGGTGGATATGGAATGTGCAAAACAATAGGATGATATTCTAGAAGAGCAACGCTTCACCAGAGATCCATACTTCC